CAAAGTTAGACACCAAAATCTCATTTCTAACTCAAGTTATCATCAGGAAACCATTTACCTTTAACTCACCACGGTGACCTTGACCTTTGACCTTTTGACCTCAAAACCAATCCCAACTTGCCTACTCCCAAGGGCAACCCCCTACCGAAGTTACAACCCCAAACGACATTTTAAACTCAAGTTATCATCCGGAAACCAAGCTACCCGGACGGACGGACGGACGGACGGACATACATCCGGACGGACGGACGCCCTAGGCGATGACAATACCCCTCGAGCCTCTCGGCTGAGGGGTAAAAATGAAAGTCTGGTGAACTTATCACATTTAAAAGGCAACTTTTTTCCGAGCCACATGTATACGTATTCCGATACCCGCACCATTTGTAATGGTCCCTAGTAAAATGAAGCACGCCCTGCAAGAAAAAAAATTGTAAACAGGCCTGTACGTACTACAATGTAAAAAAGTATTTGTTGACATATTTCCTTTTCAGGCCTTCGACAGGTACTCATTTGGGTTTCATTTTTTGTTCTTCAGGGCTATGAAGATGCCATTTGCTCAGTTGATGGAACATTTTAGTCTGAAATGTGTTGAACTAAAATTTTAAGAATACTCTCTTAATGATGGATCTCCCACATTTATGTTTTCTAAGTCATGACCTCGCTATTCTTTTCTCGGGATGTCAGTCAACAGCTTGAAAACACAATAAACACTTACAATGCATTGTTCTATAGACAGCATAATATACCCTGTTGCACCCGTAAGACAAGGCACATTAAATATGTTACTTGTTGACCCTGTAAGAAGATAATTTAAGAGTAATTGTCTTAAAGAAGTTGTAACTTCAAAACAACTTTATTCTAAAACATGTGCTTGTTGCTGGGTCATGTTTGCTGGTTGTACAATCATGGAGGAAACCCATGCAGATTCCTGTACTCAAACCAGGGTGACCGTAAGGTCATGGCCAAATTCTGCTAAATGCACTTCAAAAATCTACCAGATTCTCCAGAATTACTCGAAATACACAATAAACACTTAAAATCACATGCAGATCGATGTTGTAGTATTGCCTTAATTAAGGTTCAAATTACATTATTAACAATATATAGTCACATAAAGATGTTATGAAATTGCGTAAATTTCAGGTAGTAAAACGCGGTTGCATCACTTCCATGACTTCCCAGAGAACCTCAGCACTTAGACCAACCAACCTGTCCCATAAAAAATGCAAGCAGAATATAATTCTGTCAAAAATCTGCCAAAAAAAATCCATTCTGTCAAATTTTCTGTCAAACTTGTTTTTTTAACAAAAAATCTGTCAAAGTTAGCTGAAAATCGGCTAAAACGATCACCATGGTGGAAACTCATTAAGATTCGGGCAAGTCCATTCTTCCTAAGGCAGGCATGCAACTGGGAAATCACAAAAAAAGAGGAAATGCAAATCTTTCCCAGACTTTGTACAGTGTTTTTCTATTTTCAATGGCACACATGGGAAGAGAAAAAGAGGAAATCAGCTGATCCGAGGAAAAGTTGCATGCCTACCTAAGGGTAAGGGTAAACTCAGGGTTAATGTACTCAAAAAAGGGGGGAAATTAAAACAAAATTACCGTATTCTGGGCCTCTACAAAAATGTACTGCCAAAGCTGAATTAGGTCTTGTACTATAGTCTGGAATTTGCAGGCATTTTATAATTAGTTCAGGGTAGGCAGAAGATTCATGCGTGGCGTATACCAGGTACCTATGCCACGTATGTTCACGGCTCATATATCAGGACTTTCCCTGAATTTTGTAACAACTATTGCCACATCCTACCGGTAGCTATTGCAACATCTGCTTTGACATTATACATTTTTGTGTACCTTGACCTTTGACCTGACATACCATACCAACAGTATGACTTTCTGCTCCGTTATGATTTTGGCATAACAATTAGCATGCAGACTGTTAAAACAAAAGATTCTTTGCAAATTACTTAGGAAGCTGCCATTGAGATTAACTTGTTGGTGTTTTCTATATTTTTGGCAGACATTGTTTAAACACTTGTAAATTAGGTAGTACATAAACTGTATGTTTGCAGCCCATACGGACACATTGTAGGCCTATACTCAGTTCATTTTGGCAACATGCAGTTACATGCTCGGCCATTTATTCTTATTTTTTTTTCATATTTATATTTACCTGCACCCGATTTCATCAAACACTTCGTAACTTACGATGCGTCGCAGACGCGTCCTGCGACCCATTTCACGAAACACGTCGTAAGCTAGTGCGAAGCGTCGTAGGTGTATTTATAGCACAACTCGGTGACTGTTTTATGTCTTTAGTCAGCGTACAGTAAACAGTCGTCTGATATTCAACAAATACAGTCGTCGGATCTCAGCTCGAAATTTGTTACAACATAAAACAAAATGGCGGCCGTGCGATGCAATTTTGAAGGAAAACAAGCTCTCATTGGACTGTGTAGCTACTTTGAAATTTTAACTCTAATATTCCCGTCTAATTCATAATTATTCAATGAATTTTCTATTTACAACTTTACACACATTGCCTCGATATTATAATCTCGTTAATGTAATGTTTATATGGCATAAAAATGGCTTAGAAATGACTCTTCTTATTTTGCGATGACGACTAGACACGTCGTAACTTGCGACGTGTTTTAAGCCGTTGTCAAGAAACTTACGAGGCGTTCAACACATCGCAACTTTCGAGAAATGGATGATACGACGCGTCGCGAGTTGCGACGTGTTACACGTTGTAACTCGAGTTGCGACGCGTCGCAGCGCTTCGTGAAGTCGGGTGCTGTATCCAGAGGCTGAGTTTATGAAAGAAAAGCTACTCTGGGCTACTTCAGGGTATTTGATATTTTTGCACCACAAGATCATCCCTTTACCTACCTGTATCATGACAACTTGTAACCTTGGCATGTATCTGGGGGATAGATAGGCCGTTTACACAAAAACTGACTACATTTTGACAAAGTCATTAAACACTGAAGGAAGTTCAAAAACAATCTGAATCTTTGAACAAATAAAGGCAAGATATGAAGATTTAGGTGGAAAAAATTTCAATACCATGGGTAATTGCCCACAGGCAGACAGGGTGAATTCGCCAGCCAAAAATAGGAGAAAACGTCCCCATTTTTCAACTGGGACACTTTTCAAGGGCTCGTAACTTTAATATTAAATCTTCCATGTTGTAAATTTTCTTTTTACAGGCAGACCTGTGCCCAAATAAAAGGAATACAGCATCATTAGCCCTAGGGAACACATGTCACAAACTGATGGGGGGTCCTCGAAAATTGAAATTTTGATTTCCGATTTTGAATAATTTCAAAATTCAGGGGTTAAATACTCTAAAACCATACAAGATAGGCAATTTCTGATTGCAGATTCTGAAAGCCTGGGCACAAATTACCCAAGATACAAACATTCAGCCTGTAATTCCTATTCATTTTGAGAAATTGGTCTCCAAAACCCCTTGCAAATTAACATTTTTGGCTCGCGAGTGTAAAAAGTGGGCGTGGACGGAAATTTTGGGAGGGCGTATCTCGAGAACTGTCACGAGTAAAAGTCTAAAATTTTGCATGTGTTCGTTTTTCATGTACAGGCTAGATGTTCTTCTAAAAAAAAATTAGCCAAATCTGAGAGGGTCACCATGGAAGATTTTCAGATTTTGGTTGAGTTCATATGGAATGACCCTGGAGTTGAAATGTGGTGATCGTCTTACAACGTAAGGCTATCCTGGCTAGCTAAGATGCAAATTATCTGCACGCCAAGTTTCAACCAAATCGGCCTTTTATTTCTGTACATACACATGTACATGTATATATAAGCCATTGAAAAAATTAACTTTTATGATGAATATGTCACATGCTCTATGATGAAGTCACGTTGACATCATAACGTCACATGTCAATTGCGCACATTTACTATGTGGTCTCGGTCTGCGCCAAGTTTGGAGTTTGGAGATTAATGACAGTGTCAAATTTTGTAATTAGAATCAAATCGAAACAATTTATAAAAAAAATCAGCCAATGACGTCTTTGTGACGTCACTTCAGATGTTGCATATTATTAACATTTTCGAATCCCCCGCCAAGTTTCATGACAATCAGACTTACCCTTATATGTTTTTCCTAATAATTGGTGAGCAGAAATTACTACTAAGCAATTTAAATGATAAGATAAAATTCTGGGGAGAACCATTCACAAGCAATACAAATCACATGAAAAATTAAGCTGGTAACCTGCCTCTGCTTAAAGCACGAGTCCATCATTTGCAGCTATCCAAAAAAGTAACCGGCGTAATTATTGTTGAAAAACATACTGGTTGAAAGATAATAAGGGGACTAAACTCCCTGTGAAATGATTCTTTCTGGCAAGCTCTCATTTTGAAGAAATCAACGAAAGAAGGCATTTCCAACGGTGCTTCTTAACAGTTGTTCGTTTTGTTATTCGGAGCAGCGCGCACAAGCATTGGAACGACGCACAGGCGCGCGTGGTTGCTATAATTCTTTGGATCAGTGCGCAACATCGCATAAAGCTGCAATTCAAAACAATTCGCAACATGATTTAGCAACTTTTGATTTTAAATTGAGATCCTAGAATGCTGTTTTTCTCGGAATATGAAGCTGAAGCTGAGCTGAAACTTCATCAAGTAAGTTGTTCAGTATCCTTCATTAGATTTTGAACACTTTTGTTGCTTCAAACGAACAAAATGCACTAATTACAAATGATGGACTAGGGCCTATAGCTTTAACCATATTAACAAATAAAAAAATTATATTCTTTACTCAGCAAATGTTTGTGCTTCGCAGCAACATGAAATACTTTCTTTTTGAAGGGTTTAGAGGTGTATCAAATTTGCCCTTCAATGTTACATGACTTTATATTAGTTTATAGGTGCAACGACCCAACTACGACATCATCCCAACTATAGTTAGGAATTCCTAAACTATAGTTGGGACCACTGCCATAGTTGGGGCATAACAGCAGTCTTACCGTTGGTTTGATGACGTTCGGCTTGTGGTCACTTGAGTCTTTTCTCCCACTTGCTCATCTTGCGACCCAAGTCCATGCTGCAGCATGATGGCCTTCAGCACCTCCACCAGAATGAACTCCTTGCACTGGGTGGCCAGCAAGCCATTGGCCAGATGGTGGTCCTTGCAGCGTGATGGCCTTCAGCACCTCCACCAGGCTGAACTCCTTGCGCTGGGTGGCCAGCAAGCCATTGACCAGATGGTGGTCCTTGCAGCGTGATGGCCTTCAGCACCTCCACCAGGCTGAACTCCTTGCGCTGGGCGGCCAGCAAGCCATTGGCCAGATGGTGGTCCTTGCAGCGTGATGGCCTTCAGCACCTCAACCAGGCTGAACTCCTTGCGCTGGGCAGCCAGCAAGCCATTGGCCAGATGGTGGTCCTTGCAGCGTGATGGCCTTCAGCACCTCAACCAGGCTGAACTCCTTGCACTGGGCGGCCAGCAAGCCATTGACCAGATGGTGGTCCTTGCAGCGTGATGGCCTTCAGCACCTCCACCAGGCTGAACTCCTTGCACTGGGCGGCCAGCAAGCCATTGACCAGATGGTGGTCCTTGCAGCGTGATGGCCTTCAGCACCTCAACCAGGCTGAACTCCTTGCACTGGGCGGCCAGCAAGCCATTGGCCAGATGGTGGTCCTTGCAGCGTGATGGCCTTCAGCACCTCCACCAGGCTGAACTCCTTGCACTGGGCGGCCAGCAAGCCATTGGCCAGATGGTGGTCCTTGCAGGCCCAGGCCGTGGCCAAGGAACTGGCTTTGAAACATTACCTGTAAGAAGATGGAAGAAGACATGTAGAATATTAGACAGTGGGCCAGAAATCCTATCTCACCTAAAAAATGAAGTTTGTCAAAGTTTTAGGTGGCAACATAAAAATGTAAATTTGTTAATTTACGGCAATTATTGATGCTTGCGCTACGAATGTGAAAAACGTTATCCACATTTCAACTTTGTTTAAATTATTTTTCCATGTAATTTATTAGTCATTCTTACAATATTAAAGTCCATAACTGTGTAGGGTTTAGTTTATGGAAGTGCACAAATAATGGTCACACGAGGATAGGCAAGCAATATGTTGACTGAAAAGTGTCCTTGATCATGTAGTGCCGTGCACAGTTGACTATACAACTGTGAGGCAAGATTCTGCATGTGCTTTGTGTGTCTGCAGTCAGTACATGCACGCCTTTCGACCATTGTCTACCCTTGAACAATATGATCACAGAGTCAACATAAAAAGGTCAAAATGGAGAAAAGGTTTGTGGGAAAAACGACCCTCCCTTTCCACCAGGCTGGCTATACGACCCTGACCTACGTGTACGCGTACTTGTGCTTTCTGGCCTTCTAGAAACTTTTCCACAACTTACTGACGTATGCAGTAACTGCGGCCTAGAAACTTCTTTACAACTCAGTTTTAGTGACGTACCGGTAGGCACTATTAAAAATGCGGCCTAGAAACTTCTTCACAACTTAGTGACGTGGCACTAACTAGAGTACTTGTTTATTCAGCCATGCATGCCTACATGAATGCATTTTCAAAGACAGCTTTCAGTTAAATAAACCTGAGTTTAGTGTAAGTTTTCAGAGATTTCACTGCATTTTGGACAAGATAAGTTTTATATACATGTAGTTCTTGGCCAAACCATCTGACTGAACACAATGTGCCATGGTGTTTTATACAGCATTAGTTTCAGCTGATAGTGATTGTTAGACATTTAGAGAATATTTTAGTGTTTTATACAGCATTAGTGTAGGGGTCCGTGTCTTTTGAGAGACTCCGTAGTCCTGTGTGAGACCGTGATTTCATCATTTCTATTTATAGCGTGTAGCGACATGTCACCGCTACTCATCCACATGTAGTGCAAATAGTTCCTTTGAGGAAAAGTAGGCCCTATTTATTTAAAACAGTTTGGACGCATCAATCCCGGATTCACTTATTTGTAAAATTCTATTAATATGTGAGAATGTATCCTGTAACTACTCTCTCTGGACTACTACCTTATCGTGGTGGAGGAGTTTGTGCACCTCAGTGACCCTGAGAGCTATGCTGGCAGGAGTTCTTTTACTCCTAGCAGGGCCACCCAAGCCAGACAGGTCAAAGGGTAGAGGTCAGACGAAAGGTAGTCCACATCTGTCAGCTCGGCAGCAGGGGCTGGCAGCTACAATCATGGCATATTCAATTGTTTGCTACTGGCATGTTGTAGCCGACTGGCAAGCGGATGAGCTCATCTTGGGTCAACGGCTGTTGGTCAACAGGCATAGTTAGTTTGCTACTGCGGGGCAGCCTCCATTCATCCCTGCTGTCACGCTTTGTTGCGTTCCGCTGGATTCGATGAATGTCAGGCCCAGAGGAGAGCGTCTGTCCTGGGCAAGCATTCGCTCTCTTTTCCCCTCTGCCTCGGCGCTCGGCGTCTACTAATCATGATGGTTTCCAATAATATTCAGCTACCGGCAATGCGGGAGCCACCCTCTTCGGGGGCTTTCGTTGCTCGGCAAGGTTCGTGTTCCAGGCAGGCGCGACCTGGTCGTCATCCTGCTACTGCCTATATAGCCTTCGCTTGTTGGAATGTTCGTTCTCTTGGTGTTCATACAGACAGCCACTCCTCCTCGCCAAGAAAATCAGCAGTGGTTGACCTCGAGCTTACTCGTCTCGGTATAAGTGTTGCAGCTCTCAGCGAAACCTGGCTAACTGGCTGTGGTTCTATTCGAGAGGAAAATTTCACCTTCTTTTGGAGCGGTTACGCAGATGATGCGAGGCCTATGCATGGTACAGGCTTCGCAATTCGGAATTCCCTACTCCCTTGCACTCAGCAACCTGCCGCCATCTCTTCTCGCCTCATGTCCTTGCGCATGTGTCTGAGCACTGGTTACGTCACTTTAATCTCTGCTTATGCACCTACCCTGACGTCTACCCCAGAGTCTAAAGACGACTTCTATCTTCAGCTTAGTGAGTTGTTGCACAATATCCCGGCTGGTGATGGCATCATTCTCCTTGGGGACTTCAATGCCCGCATTGGTTCTGACTGCAGTGCGTGGAAGAATGTAATTGGCCCGCATGGTGTTGGGAGAATGAACGACAATGGTCAACGTCTCCTCGAGCTCTGCGCTTCGTACAACCTATGCATTGCCAACACCTTCTTCGCAGGCTCTGTTCGCTCCAAGGTCACCTGGAAACACCCTCGCTCACAGCACTGGCACCAACTGGACCACATCATTGTCAGACAGAGACAACTGCGCGATACCACCCACTGCCGCAGCTTGCATTCTGCTGATTGCAATACAGACCATGCCCTTGTTCGCTGTAAGCTTCGTTTACTACCCAAGAAGTTCCATCGTGCAACGCATAGACCATTGCCTGCTATTGACACTGTCTCAACTCACGACATCAGTCATGTTACTCAGTTTCAAGAGCTCCTTTCTGGTAACTTCAGCTCAGCACCAATCTCTGCCAACCCTGAAGGTGCTTGGTCTAGGTTCCGTTCAGTAGTCTACAACAGTGCTGTGTCTGCCTTTGGTCGCTGCTCACGAAAGCAACCTGACTGGTTCCGGGACAGCGCGGACATACTGCTCCCTGCACTAGAGAACAAACGGTCAGCCAGAAACAAATGCCGCTTGATCAACACACGCTCCTCAAAAGCTGCCCTTCGGGCTGCCAAGAGCACTGTCCAGCGTCTTACTCGAGCAGCTTTGCAACGCTACTGGTCTCACCTAAGTGATCGCATCCAACGTTGTGCCGACTCTGGTGATCTACGCGGCTTGTACCAAGGCATTAAGGAGGCAATTGGTCCTACCCCAAAGAAATCTGCTCCTTTACTGTCGTCCACTGGTGCCATCCTCACAGACCAAACAGCACAGCTTGACCGGTGGGTAGAGCACTATAGCTCACTTTATAACAGCGATGCTGCAGTCAGTACTTCTGCAATATCTACCTTACCTCAGCTTCCCATCCTGAAAGAGCTGGACAATTCCATCACCTTGGAAGAAGTGAAGCATGCCATCAACGGCTTAAAGAACAACAAGGCTCCTGGCACTGATAGCATCCCTCCAGAGGTACTTAAGAAGGGTGGTAATATCTTGGCTGCAGAGCTCCACGCTGTTCTCCTGACCTGCTGGAAATCCCAGTTAATACCACAGGATCTAAAGGATGCAAACATCATAACCCTCTACAAAAACAAAGGTAACCGACAAGACTGCAATAACTACAGAGGCATCTCACTGCTGTGCTTAGCTGGGAAGGTTTTTGCTCGAGTGCTGTTACCTCGGCTACAGGTCATTGCCAACAGAATCCTTCCCGAAAGCCAGTGTGGCTTCCGCCCATCCCGCTCCACTGTTGACATGGTGTTTTCCTTGAGACAACTCCAGGAGAAGTGTGTTGAACAGCGGCGACCTCTGTACATGGTCTTCATCGACTTGACTAAGGCCTTTGATAACGTGAGTCGTTCAGGCCTGTTTTCCATCCTAAAGCGCTTGGGCTGCCCAGATAGGCTTTTGTCTATTCTGATGTGTTTTCATGACGACATGCACGCCACAGTCCAGTTCAATGGCTCAAGATCTGCTAAGTTTGAAGTTCGTCGGGGCGTCAAGCAGGGATGTGTACTTGCTCCTACCCTGTTTGGGATCTTTTTCTCAGCCCTGCTACACCGTGCATTTCCCGAACCATCTGGTATCCTACTTCACACACGCAGCTCCGGGAATTTCTTCGACCTGTCCCGTCTCCGTGCCAGGACGAAGATTCGGCATGTTCTCATCCGGGAACTCCTGTATGCTGACGATGCTGCCATTGTTGCCCACTCAGCAGATGAGCTTCAACATCTCTGCAACTCATTTGCCAGTGCTTGCTCGGAGTTTGGCATGATCATCAGCCTTGGCAAGACAATGGTGTTATCGCAAGGCCCAGGTCCCCCTCCCATGATCACCATCAATGGCACACCTCTGAGCGTGGTCAACAAATTTCAGTATCTGGGTTCTACAGTTACCAGCACCAACTCCCTGGATACCGAACTTGACTCCCGAATAGGTAGGGCTGCAACCACCTTTGGCCGACTCCGTGCTCGTGTTTGGGACAACCGGGCCCTTTCCATCAAGCTGAAGATCCGCATCTACGTATCCTGTGTGCTTAGTGTGCTACTCTACTGCAGTGAGTCATGGCCGACCTACCGCCGTCAGGAACGTCGACTGAACGCGTTCCATTTCCGCTGCCTACGTTCAATTCTTGGAATCTCCTGGCAAGACCGAGTCTCAAACCCTGCCATTCTTGAGCTCACAGGAGTCAACGACATGTTCACATTGCTGTCAGCTCGCCGCCTTCGTTGGTCTGGTCATGTCTGCAGACAAGAGGACGGTCGACTGCCGAAGGACATCTTCTTTGGGGAGCTGGCTCATGCTCCTCGCCCCCGTGGTCGTCCAAAACTCCGTTACAAGGATGTTCTAAAGCGTGATCTGCGAACCTTCCGAATCCCAGTCACCTCCTGGCAGACCGTGGTGCAGGACCGCACTCGTTGGCGATCCGCTGTCCATCTTGGCCGCTCTGCTTCCTCTGCCGCCTATATTGCTGATTGCGAGAATCGTCGTGCAGCTAGACACCGAGCTACATCGTCGTATTCGACGGGATAGGCCACTACTAATCCTGTAACTGTTAGAGACACTTTTGCTGAACTAATAGTATCAAGAGAGAGGTTGTGTGGCGCATTAATCTACGTGTGTTTTGCCATCCTGAAGTGTGTTGTGCAATACCGTCCTTTTCGGATCAGCTGCCAATGTGTGAGT